GGGGGGGGGGGGGGGGGGGAGTTTTTTTGAGGAAGGCGGCATCGCCTGTCGTGGTGCTGGAACGAGATGCGTTTCTGGTCGCATTTCTCATCTGAATCGTCAGCCGAATCATCAGCCGGAGAGTCTTCGCTCGATTTCGAAACGATCTTTCCGTTTGAAATCGACCGATGGCCGTTCTCCCTCGGACTTCTTACGCGCTCGATCCATCGGTTGAGGTCGGACCCAAAAATCAACGCATTTTTAAGTTTTAACTCGAACCGACCAAATATGGAAAACTCATGAGCTTCCGAAAGTTCACGAAAGATCACGGTCGAATTTAGGCACCTTTAAGCCACGGAGTAAGACATTTACTTTTTAACGGCATTCTTGCTAGGAACAGGTGAAATGGGGTCGAGAGATACGAGTCTCCACTTTCCAAATTCTTTCTTTGCGCTTACTTACCTTCAGTAAAATGCGCTCTTTTTGGATTTTAAGCATTTCTGGCTCTCTTCTAATTTCCGGAATTCATTTTGAGGAACCGGAATGACGTTTTGAACGTGGAGGGCTGCTTTAAGCATAGCTTTTTCGCTTAAATCCTCTAATCTGCTTAAATTCGTCGGATTAGTTTGCCTTCGTGATTCCGTCTCCTTTAGGCAGACATTGAATCGGTGGAACAGACATGAAAAATGCATCGAGTGCTTAGGACATTTTTACTTAGGGTGCCCACTTCATAAGGTACGCGAAAGGACGAGCAGAAAGTGTCAAAATCGGACATTTTGCACATCACAGGCTAAAAGTCTTCGGTCAATAAGTAGCCTGATGAATAAATGTATTAGGCTGACGAGTGAATAGTATCATCAGTAGATGAAAAAGCGAGTTTTCGAGATGTTTTCAATTACAGACTATCTCTTACGAATAAAAGATCAATTTAAAAAGCAGGAACTACAATACTTTCATGGAAGCGGAAAAATACATCTGAAGTGATTCTTATGGAATAGCTTTATTTCCAGCAGAAGAGACGGATGTATATCCCTTCACAGCTTCACCTTCGCGAAGTCCTTCAGCGGGTACTCCGGATGAGCGTCGACGCTGTGAAGTCATGAAATACCAACATATAAAAATTAAAAAAATCCAAAAACTTGGTTAACGTGCATTTCACTGCAAGCAAAATTCGTTCTTGTGAACTGACCCCTTTAACTCGAAGAGGAAGCTTCTACCGGCTTCACCCTGATCCAAATCATTCAGCTGCCTCATTTCGTCCGAACTCAGCTCGAAGTTGAAAATCTATGAGACAGGAGAGTGAGATAAATGATGGGAGACCGCCGGCGACTACTACGATAAATACGTATTCAAGAATAAATCAGGAAGACGTGAGACCTGGTAATTAAGTTGGATCCTGGAAGGGTTGGTGGACTTGGGGATGACGGCGATGCCAGATTGAGCCAGGTGACGGAGAAGCACCTGCGCTTCTGTCACGTGATGCTTACGGGCTATCTTCTTCACCACTGGGTTTTGGAGGAGGTCTGGGACCTTCGCCCTGGTTTCCAAAAGCCATTTCATCAGACTTATATTTCCAACCTGGGTCATCTTATGCGTCTATGGACAGAATCTAGGATTTGGCTTACTTGTCTTTAGAAATTCCGAGCTTTTCGTAGAAGGCCACTCTTCCGGGTGATCCCAGCGGCCCATAGGCGACGACGGTGATGTCGTGCTTCTTGCACAGCTCCCGAAGAGGCTTTTGCTGAAAATAAGCCTGTAGTTCCACTTGAATGTTGGCCGGTTTGATTCGGGCATTCTTCACGATCCTCGTCACTTGTTCTTCGTTGAAGTTGCTGATCCCGATGGATTTCGCTCGGCCGGCATCCACCTGCTCCTCCATCCCCTGCAGCGACAGATGAAAAATTATATCTTTCCTTTGCTCTCTTATACTACTGAGACCGTTTCACTGAAACGATCATGTCTTTCTCTTGCCTTCCAAACAGACACGAGGTCAGTGGTGAGATCGAGCTGTATGGTGCCATCAGGGTCCATGGGGAAAATGTTGTCATCGCCGTTATCCTTGAGTCCGATCGGGGCGTGCACCAGATACAAATCCACGTAGGTCAAGTTCAAGGCTGTCAGGGATTTCTGCAGGTATACGGCCACCTTGTCCTTCTGGTTCCCTATAAGCGGCAGCTACCCCCAAAAGAAAAACGGTCTTTGGGAGAAACTCGTGCAGACTTGGAAGAAGGGGAAGGCACAAGTGCACGAACCTTGGTGACGATGAAAAGCTCTTCTCTCTTTACTTTTCCGCTGTCGATCCACTTTTTCAAGGCTCGACCGATGGCGGCTTCGTTTCGATAATTGTAGGCAGTGTCTATGTGCCTATAGCCCATTTCGAGCGCTGCGTCCAAGGCTTTTTCCACCTCTTCATCGCTCGACTGTATCAAACAATCATGATGATATTGATAGTAATTAGAAAGCCAAAAATAAATCGCAGCTTTAGGGATGATAAAGAAAACAATTACGAGAATTAGAATACGGTATTGGATTAGAAATTGGACTAAGAATTATCCTAAAAATTCAGTCTTGGGGTGAGGTGGGACTTGCCTGCCAGGTGCCCAATCCCATGATGGGCATCCGTTGCTTGTTGTAGAATTCCACATAGGGCTTGAAGGATGTAGAGGATGAGCTCATGGTGGAGATGGATCGGATGTCGTATTCCTGCACAGGAGGTCACACCATCCACGGGAAAGGACGTGAACGCAACTGTCTGGGGCCTGGAATGCATCAGTGTGTGTGTGTGTGAGAAGCAGACTACTGTGTCTGGGTTCTCTTATCAGAAGTGCGCATTCGTTGCAAGTGCTCTGTGTCCTATTCTCCCCTGGGACCTGGGGATCCCGCTGGAGGAATTGGTTTCCAAAGAAAATCGTGGCTCGATAACGGGCAGGCCTCTTTCCAGGTCTTTGCTTTCAATTAATATTCTGCGGAAAAGACGAAGAAAATGAATCCGATTCGTTGATAAATAGATAAGAGGGGTAGATGTCCTAGTACTGCCGTCGGGGATCTCCCGCGAATTTTTTTTTGTTTTTTTCCTTTAAGCGAAAAAAATGAATATTAATGAATTGAAAAAGGAGAAAGGGAAGACCGATGCAATGTTGTATTTCCGACCAAGAGCCACATGGCATCAAAGCCGAGACTGTTGGGAGTTCATTCACCGAGCGACGAATGGCGGATTCGTCTGAAGTTTCCCTCCTCATACTGGACGTATTTTGAGGAGCACGTGCGTTTCGAACAGAATCCATTGCAGCGCGACGGATTGAATGACTGTCAATGGAGCTGCATCTTTTTCTTAACTTTAATGTCAAAGAATGAAGAGAATTCCTTTCCGTTACGAAGAAATCCAGAATCGTTACTCATTATTCCTGATCCTCTTTACGCCATGCTTAACGACCTATGCACCCTCCTTGGGAGGCGAGAGGGAAGAGAAGAACGATGAGGATGGTCGATGAGGATGGACGATGAGGATGGACGATGAGGATGTGGATCGAAGGTGCACCAAGAGGGAGGAAGGGGGGTGGACGAAAACTCGGTTTCGGTCTCCCAAAGATTTGAACAGATATAAATAATTTAAAAATGTCTTCGGCTCTCTGATCAACACCCCCTCACCCCCAACTCAAAGAAACTCGGTGCGTTTTTGCTGATCCCACAATTTTCGTTTTGATGCTGATACCCCGCATCTCTTTATAGTTGCAGGTTGGCAACCTTGCCGGGTCAGCTCTCTCGTGTGACTTTATTTTCAGCCAGGCAGTGAAATTTCTCGGAACGGCGACGGGGTCAGACATGGATTTCCTTCTTAACCGGAAGGGCGTAAACCGGAAAGCAAAACAAACTTTTCCTTTCAACGTCAATTCCACGACATGGAAAAAAAAAAAAATTTTTTTGTCGCAAGGATCCATTCCACCACGACCAGCGACACCCAACAGAGGTTGGAGACGGGCCAGGCCAGGAGTGTGCAACCTTTATCGGCAGTGGGCCGCATGGAAATGTCTGACTCTTCATGCAGGCCATAGAATGCGAAAGAAAAGGCTCCCCTCTTTTGCCCTAAGGGCATATGAGGGCATAAGGTCGCTCTGATTGGCCGGTGATTTTTCTACCCCCGCCCCACCCCTAGGAAATTCCAACGCCAAAAATGTATCATCCTTCCTCCTCTTCTCCATGGCTGCGTTATTTTGAAACACGAGTAAAATATTATTTATAAATAATGTTCGATTCAAAAAATTTAAGATCACCTCAGCTGCCTTTCACATTATATTAATCCCGAAGCAATGAAAGGGAACCGGAGAGGGAGGGAGCCGGCGAAGCGTCTCAGTCATTCCTATTCGGTTGTCACGCAGGTCTGCCAAGCTCAGGGATGTGCAACCCGCGGCCCGCGGGCCGCATGTGACCCGTGGACCAGCTTCTTGCCCGGTAATGCATGATGAGATAATAGATGAAGTAAGCTTCTTCCGGCCCAAGGCTCATCACAACTTTGGTCATCCCTTAGTGACTTAGCGGTAGACTGAGTCCTTTCAATTTCCTTGCCGGGTCAGCTCTCTCGTGTGACTTTATTTTCAGCCAGGCAGTGAAATTTCTCGGAACGGCGACGGGGTCAGACATGGATTTCCTTCTTAACCGGAAGGGCGTAAACCGGAAAGCAAAACAA